GAAATTTAGTCTAACTTTCTTAAACTTAAAAGGTTCGGTAAGTTTAACAGACTTGAATTGCAGACACAGATGAAAAGTAAAGATTAACCAGACAATACAGTTTATAAGATCAGTATTTTGCCATTTTTTTCTTTATTGTCCAGTATGTTTTGCAATAGAATAGCTAAAGTTTATTCAAGTAAACTGTGTAATAAGTAAGATCTGATAAATTTTAGTCATTGGCTAACAAAGATTTTATTACGATACATAATCAAACATACGTGAAGCATGGTTGTTGTTTTTTTTGTTTATTGTTTTAGCATTTCCAGTGTCTGGCATGGTGACCATTCCAGTATCCATGTATCAAACTGTAGTCACCAACATTTCACAGCTGAGTGAAGGTCAAGCATCTCACCATGCACTTATGGCTCATGTTTCAGTTGGGAACACAAATGAAACCAGTACGAATGGAACTAGAGCTGGTGACGGAGTTGAATCAATGAACGAGGCTTCCAGTGTAGGGTCAGGAGACAGTTAAGTCTGCCAGTGAAGATAGTTGAATGTTCTGTAATATTCTGATTCCTAGCTACATCCATGTGCTTGTGACTGTTGTTTCAATAGTTAAGAGTGTGCAAACATCATTAAGTGATATACATTCTTAATGTTAGACTGACTGACCGTAGAAAGCCTACTGCTTCATAAAGTTCTAGAAGCTAGAGTGAGGGATGTTATGTGTTCTATATGTTTTGATCATGTTGAAATCTGAACACAAAACTACACCGTGGTTGTTTTTACCAGTACATTGTTGTGACAGTTTCATTCTATTTTATAGACATAAAAAATGTTTTCATTACTTTAAAAATTCACAGTTTTTCTACTTTTCGGTAATTGTAGTAAAAGTTGCATATTTTTAAATATTCTGATAGCTTTGTGAACAAATTATCAGATGGATATCAACATTTTTTTTGAATGACAACGTCTAACTGCATTAAACAATGCATTAACACAGGAGTTCCCAAAACTGTTTTTCCTAGGTCCAACAGTTGAGATTCATTAGGCCCACTGACATGGTGTTGATCAGATTTAAACTTTTGCTACATGTAAAAACATTCAATTATCACAATATATACTTTAAGCTTAAATGAAAATTATTTTTGTTTTACAGGATTTAAGAATCAGTTTTTTGATACCTTAGCGTTTTATCATCATATTGCTTTATCTTGTACAGTTTTTTTTTTAAATCACCAACAACTAGTAACAGCATTAATAACAAGTCTGTTGTCTATGAAACAATCTGTGATAGGGTTGTTCCATGAACAGTAGTTTGGGAACTTCTGCATTAACCTTGTGAAGAATTTCTTTGGGATATTATAATTTGTAGTCGACTGTAAAAACTCTAAATTGTTGACCTTTCGGGCCCCAGTTAAGGAACAGGATAAGTTTCAACATTTACATGATTGTTCATGTGTAGAACTAGTCATCCAGTAATTGCAGTGTTAATTATATTACATTGTTATTCTATGAAAACAGTTTAATAACATACGATTCTGTATATAATGCTAAGCCTAGCGCCTGGAAATAAAACTTGGTTAATCTTTTGATAACAGCCATTAATATTTACATATTGTGGAATAATAAACTAGTTCTTCTGAGCTGTCCATGCAATTCAAAAATTTAGCAAGACCCAAAACTGATAATCATTCATATGATACCTAAGTATTTAAATATATGAATAATTTGATATTTAAGCAGGCATCTTTTAACTGAAAAGCACTTTCTTTCATAATTTTCACTAAAGATAAACGTAGAAGCAACTTTATGTACTTGTATTTTTTCAATTAGAACAGTGTATTCTGGTGTAAAGTGTTCTGATAGGGCCATTTGTGTAATCTAAAGCAAATGTTGCTAATTTTCAATTTGTAAATATTGCAAGTTTGATCTCGGCTATTTTCAAAAGTTTCTTCAAAACACGCTCGAATTACTTAAAGGTAAAAGAATACAATAAAAAATTTAAAACTTATCTCAAAACCTGAAAAAAAAAAACCTGGAAATTTACCCTCCCCTTTTCTTCAGAACCTGCATACTGTTAAACTATGTCATTTCTTGATATATTGTAATATAATCTTAGCCAATCTCTCTGTTCTTTGATGATTATTATCTAATACAATATTCTTAATTATAGGCTAGATCAACTATTATTTTAAATTCGACGACGAGGAACCCACTTTGAGACTAATAATGGCTGGAGACGGCTTGAATGGGTAATGAAGAAAAACTTTAATATAAGTTTAACATAACAGC